CCTCAATCAGATCCTGCCCTCGACGACCACGACCTCTAGGCGCAGGGTGCTGCGGCATAAGTGCTGCAACTTGCGGTGTCGGCAACTTCACTTGTTGACACAGCTGTGCGATTTTATCATGTCTATGTATCTCCTCTACGCTTCACAGGCTTCTTGACTTCTTCTTGAAAGTACATATCTTGAGGATCATCTAGCTTCTTTTAAAGAAATCGTCTTTGATTTAAAGACCTTGGAATTCAAATATAATAAGACAACTTGGGATTGATTTTGTTGTATTCATTGTCCACATCATTCACGTATTTTAGAGACACGATATTATATAGTCGTGATACTCTCACCATCGAAGAAGTCTACGCTGCACTATATTCAAATGAGAAGATGAAGCATCTTGTAGCATCTGGGGGATCATGAAGATGGTCTCATTGTTCATGATGGTTGTTCAAGGGCAAGTCAAAATTTAACTTCAAATTTTGTAACTATTGCAAGAAAAAGTAGCACTTGGTAAACGATTGTTATAAGTTGCAGAATAAATCAAAGTCAGCTGCAAATCAACAATCAAAAACTTCAGGGAAAGCAAGTAGTGCAAAAAATCCTAGCAGTGATGGAGAGCTTCTACCTATGTCTAACTACAACTCCAAACCTAATGAGACTTGGATTTTGGATACAAATTGCATTTTTCATGGACTCCTAGTCGGGATTTGTTTTCAACATATGAAGAAGTTTCAAAAGGTATTGTGATGATCGGTAATAACACACGTTGTCAGATATTTGGTATTAGTTAGGTTAGAATAAAGATATCTGATTGGACAGTTAGAATACTTGATGCAGTGAGACAAGTTCCAGATTTGAAAAAAATCTTATCTCCTTAAGTATTCTTGATTCAAAAGGGTACATGTGCATTGTTGAAGGTGGAGTTCTGAAGGTTATCAAAGGAGCCCGTGTCCTGATGGGACATTGAAAATCTCATTTATATATCTTGAAGGGTGATGCAGAATTTTCGAGTAATCATCATATTTTAAGAACTCGGGTGGATTTAGAGTCGGCTTCTGTATCGTTTGAGTCTAATTTTGGGTCTTTTTTTAAGAATACATCTCAATTGAATTTTGAAGATATGGGTAAATCCATCTTGCCACCATTATCGACGGTGTCATCATATTCAATTGCTAGAAATAGACTCATTTTTTGCCATAAGGTTCCACATAGGTACAACTCTGCGGATTTTGTAGATATTTCGAATACGGTTAAGGGTGTTGATTCTAATCAAGATCCTTCTTCTGATGCATTCAATTGTTGATATTTCGAACGTGGTTAAGGGCCTATTCCTGTGCATG